CCTAAGTGTAGTGCCCCTTCTCCATCCAGTTACCTTCTTTAATGCCAATCTGTTTACAGGTTTTGATGGACAGGTCTGGGTTCTTTTTAATCTCGCCACCCACTCAGCAGAGTGTATCTTCTTTATTTTTTCCTATGAATTTATTTGGCGGTACCTCCACACCTCTTGTTCCTTCCTGGCAGGTCACCAGGGCAGCTTTGGAGGAAAATTCTAACCACAGGGTAATTCCCACTTACTTGCCAGATAGCTGGAGACTTCCAAGAAATAACACAAAAAGAACAGGAGTACTTGTGGCACCTTAGAGACTAACAAATTTATTAAAACAGACCAAAACTTTAGTCCACGAAAGCTTATGCTCTAATAAATTTGTTAGTCTCTAAGGTGCCACAAGTACTCCTGTTCTTTTTGCGGATACAGACTAACACGGCTGCTACTCTGAAACAAGAAATAACACAAACACATAGAATATATTCAAAACAATAATTAAACAGGAGACAAATATAACATAACAGGGTAAAACATTATTGTTAGGTTCACCGGTGCCCACTCTGCTAATACCTGGGACTTTCCGCAGTCACATGACTTGATGTAGCAAATATAAGCTCAGTGTCTTATTGGTACGCGTACTTTGTTGGGGACCTTGATGACGTATGACCACAAAATTCTTCTCTGCAGTGGTTTAGCGGTGTGGCTGACTGGGTTCAGTACAGCCCAAAAGACTCACAAAGGGGAGAAGGTGGTAAATCCATCCACAGGTTTAATATGCAGCAGGTTATAAAATCCCCAAACCCTCACTCCCTGGCTTGAGGACACAGTTCAGGGAGTAGGGAGTTCCCAAAACAAATTCCCTGACTGACTAACTCAAAGATGGTACACTCACAAACTCCATGAATAATCCTCAGGTTCAGAGATGACTCTGGACTCCTCAGTCACTGCAGAGAGGCTGATCTCTGCTGGCAGGGATCCTCTTCAGGCAGGAATCAGGCTGCTTTGATCCCAGGATTTCCCCTCACCACAAAAAGGTGCAGGGCTCAAGGTGCAGATTACACAACCGTACTAAAATCCAAACTGTAGTCTCCTAGCCCAGTATCCAGACATACACAGAGCAAGCAACAGTCCTGAACTAGCAGACAGAGCAGAGCTGACCATGTGGTGACTGGTCTCACCTAGGGAGCTGGAGGGCTAAGTCAGCCTGGCTGGGGAAGTTTCCCAGTAAAACTCTACAAACTGGGAAACATCAGTGGAGAAGGAAAAGCCGGGATCTTGCTTTCAGGTCCCTAGAGGCCAGTTCTCAGGGGGAACCCTGCATGTAGGTCTTGGACTTACTTAGGGTGACCAGACGCCCCGATAAAATCGGGACTGTCCCAATTTTGAGGTGTTTGTCCCACGTCCCGACCGAAGTATGGTAGGGACGCCATTTGTCCCGATATTTTGTTTCGGGGTTGTTGTTGTTGTTTTTTTTTACACTCACCCGTCCGGCGGCAATTCGGTGGAGGGTCCTTCAGTCACTGACGGTCTTCAGCAGCATTTCGGCGGCGGGGGCTTCTGTCTTTGGTGGCTTATTACTCGCCGCCGAAATGCCACCCAAGACCGTCAGCGACTGAAGGACCCTCTGCCGAATTACCGCCAAAGACCCGGACAGGTGAGTGTAACAATTAAAAAGGTGCCCCCCGGCCCCACAGCAGTCCCGATATTTTCCACTTAGCATCTGGTCACCCTAGACTTACTAGTTCCCCACACAGTCAGTCCTGCCCTTGCTTTGGCTGGCTGCAGACTGACTCAAAAATGGCTTCTTCCCTTTCCTGAACTCCCTGGGAGGGACATCTCACTCCCTATTGGTTGCTGGGCAGACTCTGAGTTTGCCTTGGCTTCCCCTCCCTACCAGGGACAGTGTGCTGTTCCCTGAGCTGCCAGCAGACAGAGCCCCAGGAATCTAGGTAATCTCCTTGGGGGTTACATAAGTGTAGTAAGATGAGGCATAAACCCATGTATCAGAGGCCTGCGGCTTGAACTAAAGTAATGGTCAAGACTTTGCTAATGTAAAGCAAAGTTAAACTGTGAGCCAGAGGCAGGCCCTGCTCACATAAGTTGGCAATAGGAAGGCTGCTAATTGCACGTATACACATATCTAAAAGGTATTAAGTACTAGTAGGATGAACATGTGCCAGGATGGCACCAGAACATTCTGGTACGAACACATTCCACAGAGATAATGAGGAACAGGCTGACTCATCCTAAAGACAGGGTCCAAAGGATAATATGATGGACAGAGTTGTTTGTTCGAACCAACGTGTACCAGGAGAGAGGCAGCACCCCAACATGCAGAGGGGTTGTACCTCGATGCATCAGGAGTGATGTATAACTTGTTTGTACCTGTGTATAAGAATGCATCCCTGAGTGGATATCTTTGTCTGGCCTAGGGGGCAGTGGAGAGTCCCGCCACTGACTGAGCCGGTCCATTGTCAGGGGCACATATTCGTAGTGTGTCCTGTAGAGTCTGCGGGAAACTATTACTGTGCTTCATTTGACAATAAACCTGGCTGGGTGCCTTCGTACCTTATCAGAGTCTGTGGTCATTGGGGGTTCTCTCAGGTCTGCTGTGTCAGCTATCTGCGCAGAGCCAGGACAGCACACAGAGGGAACACACACACACAGCCGACTGATATCAACATTGAACAGAGCAGAACACCACACCGGTGACATCTGACGACATTGGTGACCCCGACCGCTGATCTGGTGAGTAAGCGAGTTGTCCACTGTGGGAATCGTGATCTAACCACAAGCTAGGGAGCCCCCTTAATCCCTCCCTGCAAATCCCCACAGAGTTTAAAAAATATAATGGGGAAGAAACATGTCATGTAAGTTGTAAGGCTAGGGCAGAGACTGTAGCCTCAAAATATAAAATATTGCAAACTATAACCATGGCTGTTAAATGGTTAAAGCAGCCCGCCACAAAATTGGTGGGGCAAGTAACAGTAACAAAGGAAGAGTTACAAGAATCAAAAGAAGCAACAAAGCCCTGGAATGCTCCCACCCCCCTTGCAGGGAGGCAAGCAGCCCAGAGACAACCAGCACAGAAACGGAATAAAACATTGGAAACAGCTGCAAGGAACCTACAAAAAATACATGGTAAACAGCAGGCTTCAGATAGCTACCCTGTGCCTGAAGAATGGGGAGAGAAGTGGAAAAAGGTGGCCCTAGTAAAATTAAAAGAGGAAACAGGGTCCACTGCAGTACAACCACTACCTTATGATAAAAGCCAGGTTCTGGTAAAACATAAACCGGGACCTAGACTCGTGCACAAATGGAAAAAGTAGCACACAATACTTTCACTGAATTGGTAAATCAAATGAAGGAAAAAATGGAACAGTTCACAGAGCACATTACAAGACAGGAGCTGCGACTCACTCGCAGGGGAGTGAATAAAAAGGAATTTCAAAGTCAAAAACTAAAATTGAGCAGGTTAACACCTAAAATTATGCATTAACATATGGAGTTGCCCAACAACAGTTAACTGCAGGAAAAAAAGGGCATTCCTTCAATCTGTTTGGCATGCAGACAAAAGCAACAGCCACTGGGGGAACAAATTCAGGTTTTACAAGAGCAGATAATTACCCTCACTCTCATCTCAGAGCCAGGATAAAAAGCCAAAGTGCAGTTTCCCAACTGCTTTCACACACGGCACCACACTCTGCACTCAGCTAAAAATATAACCTCCTTTCTCAAATATTTTTACATATCAGTATGTTTTCTTTTATATCCTTTATCAGTTTGCTACACTTGTGCTTCATTTGACAATAAACCTGGCTGGGTGCCTTCGTACCTTATCAGAGTCTGTGGTCATTGGGGGTTCTCTCAGGTCTGCTGTGTCAGCTATCTGCGCAGAGCCAGGACAGCAGATACCTGTACCTTAAGAGTTAATCTCTCTTGGCTCAAGTCTCACTACCTTCCTAGGTAGCTCTTCACCCTCCCACCCCCTCTTTTCCCTGCCTCTCCTTACTTTGACTCTTTGTGTTAAAAGTTATAGTTTTTACAGAAACCTCGAAAAGAAAAAGCAATTGAAAACAGAAGAAAACAGGAAATACAAAGAAAACAAGATAAAAACTTTACTTTAAATAAATCCAGTAAATTAATTATTTTAACCCTTCAGGAATGCAACAGCTGGAATTATTCCTAACTTTCTTGAAGATATGGTTGCCAAGCAACAGAAATGGACATTGCTTCTAATCCTAGCCACCCACTAATATTTGAAACATGGGCTTTTCTTATTTCCATATAGCAGAGTTTTAAAATAATG